AAAACTGCAAGTTCATAAGATTGTAATGTGGAATAATGTAAATGACTGAATATGTTTATTGTCTTAGTGATTTATTACAGTTTCATAAATATTATATAACAATTTAGTTACATAAATTATGGAATAATAATTAAAAAGCGTTGTCTCCTTAGTTACTCAAACAGTTTTCAATTGTTTTTTTTAAATTTTAACACTATAATGTACGATTTAGTGAAATAATATATTTTTGATGTTTTGTTTCTATTAACACTTTCCTATTCAATATTTTCTTATATCTCTCTTTTTTATAACACACTCATTTAGGCAAATCTACTAAAACTTGAAACATCTTATTAAACTAGATAATTTTATATTCATTTAGACAATATCTCTGTATAACATTTAAAACACTCACTATAATTAATAAATCTATTCAAATATCTTTAATTAAAGTTGGTATAAGTAGATATTAAGAATAGATCACTTAGTTTTTACTCGATCTACTTAGTAAACGATCAAGAAAAAAATATATAATAAGTAATTCCTTCATTTTTGATTAACATACAAACGCATCTTACACTGTTTCATATAATTTGTAATTTTCTTCTTCAATAAATTAAAATGTTTCTTTGAAAAAAATTGCACTAATATTAAATATTTGTGAAAATAATGATAGTTACACACGCATATTTCGAAAAGAAAAAATGATACTATAAAAAAGGAGAAAAGGAAGAAGAACATGCTCTACCTAGTAGATTTATTTAGTTCAAAATAAAGAGATGTAGGCAAATGCAATAACTCTTATAGAAAAGAAAAAAAGGAGTAATCATGAAAAATTCTCTTTTTTTGTCTTAAATTAACTAAATAAAGCAATCCTTCGAGGAAAAAAAACAACAACAGTGTAAGAGAAAATATAAGAAACAGAAAGATAGGATTTGATGATCGATCACTCAGTCAGTCAGTCAATCAGTCAGTCAGTCAGTCAGTTAAAGGAAGATTAAAAAAATCCACAATCATTCAATGAAACAAACGATTATAACCTAGAAATTATTTGTTCTAGAAAAAAGAGAAAGAAGATAAGAATCGACTGTATGTATGCTGGAATATATTGAATAGGAAGGGTTATGTTATGACCGAAATTTATATATATATATATAACTGTGTGACGTTTGTGCTTGTCAGCATGCTTCACCCGACCAGTTGATATATCACTATTATGATTGTTGCTGTACAGATTTTTCAATGTGACAGAAAAAAGTATCGGAAAGAAAAAGAATTTTTAGTTCTTCTATAGGTTATTGTCAGTAAAATTTTACTAGAATCAACTGAATAGGAAGTAAGGTAAAAAAGCAAAGTATATAAAAACCATAATCAATTGACCTTGTTACTTAAGTAGCTCAAATTCATTACTTTAGAGATTTTATTTTATTTTTAGCATAATTTTCTATTCATCTTTTATTGGACTTATATAATGTTATAAATGAAAAGCACTGAACATACAAGAAGAATGCGAAAAATTGGTATTCATAAAAAACCGTATAATACTTATTCAATGAGACAAACTCTAGAAATTTGCAATAAACTTAGTTCTTTTTTGGTAAAAACAATCAATAGTTACATATGACTCAAGAAATATTATGCGCGCTTCTCCACTAGACGACTGTGTTTATGTCTAACTTCAACCACTCCACAAAATTGCTTGACCATTCTCGCGCAAAACCGAAGGTCCTAGGGTCGAATCTCGCATGCGAGATCGTGCGTGCGCACTGTCGAGGGGTCCCATACTAGGATGAGATGGCTATCCAGTGCTTCCAGGTTTTCCATGGTGGTCTAACACCAGTCGATCATGATCTCAATCAAATACTTTACAATAACCACAACATCACACTGTTGATGAAATTGTGCCAAAGTAATATGAAATAACGATTGTGAGTAAACATGATTGAAAGGAAATTAAAGCAAAAGGAAACAATTTATTATAGTCCCAAAGTCTTCTTGATTATTGTGATTTTTATTTAGTAAACAGAAGGTTGGCTTGTGACAAGATATTCGTCTTCTGATAAAAGTTCAGTATACTGCTTCGTTGTACTCTCCTTCGTAATTTAAGGCCATGAAGTGTGACCTTTAAAAAAGTGGAGATATTCATAGGTTATTAGTATTCGATTATAGATGCCTTCAAACATACTGGAACCATCGAGTTAGTAAATACAAGGTTAATCGTAGGTTACTGGGCAAAATAATAAATCCATTGATGTAACGAGTCTTTATCAACCGAGATTATTAGGATGTGGAAGACGTATTCCCATCCGATGCATAACTTGACACATCATGATGAGGTGTCTAGAAATAGGATGAAGGTAGGCTTGAGCTTAATTAAACCAAAATGTAGTATCAGTTATATAATGACATTAACTGACGAATTAATCAACTTATGTAGGTGCTGACTGCCTAGTTAGGATTAGCGTAATTATCATAACCGATAGCTCAAGATCCTTTACAACGGCACAGTCGATTTAGATCACAAATCCAATAATTACCTTATAAATTAGTTTTTATTTGGTTAATCAATATTTTCCTCTCGAATCATATCTTGTGTGCTCCATCTTTTCTATTACCACCGATGCTGTTGCTATTTTGTTACTACTGGATTTGCCGAGGCTTTGTTAATAGAGTGTGATAGGTTATATCAAGGTATGCATATGCTAGGTTCAATGTTGCATACGACTGATAGAAATAAAAGGGAATGGCTCTGTTGTTTATTGGTTGCACTGACACTTATACATTTTCAGTTTTTTTTCTTCTTTTATATTATCCGTGCTGAATCCTCACCTATATTAAATCTTTTCACTTGAATTTACTCATCATTTAAAAAAAATAAAAACCGAACAATGAAATAGTCAACAAAATTTACTTAGAACTACTTAATTGTCAAGGAAACTAATTATAGATGATTATTAAAAGTGTTCAGTAAAACTAATCAAGGTAAGGGAATAATATTTTGGTACCGAACAATATCATACTGTTTTATTGATTTCTTTTACCTACTCATAATGAGAGAGAATATTTGAATTAGAAAGAAATTCGGATGTTTTTTTGCTCATGTTAATTCTCATTGCTTGTTAAAACGTTTCGAGTTCAAGTAACAATTTACTTGAACTCAATATAAATGTCGAATATGATTCTGCACAAAAGAATTATGCTATGTATAGATATAATATTGTTACATTTGACTTTCAAAGTTGATAATATTACAATTCTTAAATCTATTGTATTATTCGAAATTATTTTAGTTCTGTACATATTATTATAACAATTCACAATCACATAGAAAAAACGTTTTTGCATCATTAGCAAGGATTGACATGGTAATTTCAAAATAGAACGAAACGGCCGTCCAGTGCTTTCAGGTTTTCTATGGTAGTATAACTTCAGTTAATTCATGATTTCAATTATTGGAATTACTATAATATCCACAAAAACCCTTCTGACATGAATCAACATATGCTCACTAGTGACTGGTTTCGAAAGGTATTTCCTGGAGTTCTAGTGAGAAGCTGTGGTCAGAGGAGTTCAACCGTATCTGTTGTGAGATACTAAGTCACTTAATACGATGGTGGATGTGTCGCTTAACTTCATGGATTAGTTGAAGTTAGACATTAACACCGTTTGATGCCGACCCAGTGGTCCAGAGGTTAAGCGCTCGCGCGCGAGACTGATAGGTCTTGTGTTCGGATCTCGCAAGGTGGGACCGTGAATGCACATCGCTAAGGAGTCCCACAGTTAGAAGAACAGGCCATCCAATTCTTCCAGCACTTCCATTGAGGTCTAGTTTCAACTGACTCATGATTTCAAAGATTTAAATTTAGAAGTTGAGCATTGAATAAGTCGTTAAAAATAGAAAACACTTATATATATATATATATATATATATATATATATATATATATATATATATATAATGCAAAAAGGTTTTTCCAACTGTGAAGAAAGACGACTGGATGAAGACTCCCATATGTTGCTAAACCTTAATGCCTTCAATAGAAAGGAACACCTAACTATCAATTTTATATAGACTACTCATCCGTACATTCAAACATTTAATTTAATTCACGTTCCATAACACTAACAACAAGCATATAAATATTTTAATCGATACTTTTTCACATTATAAACATCAGCTATTCCACACTCACTAACACACAAAATACAAGGTCTCACAAAGAATCACCTTGAGTAAAATGACATGTGATCAGGCCGTTTCGATTATACTAAAAGGAATTCTGCTTTGTTTGGTTTGTTATAATTTATTTGATTATTTATTCTCTAAAGAGGCAATTTATACTAGGTAGTTAAAGGTCGGAAAAACATTTTCCAGCCCAATAAGATTTTACCAATACACATATATCATTATCATTAAAAACAAAATGTATACTCTACAAATCCTCTAACTTTTCATATGTTATATAAAATGATATAAAATTAAGAGAAAATAAATAAAAACATATTATTAGTAAAAACAATTAAAGGTTTTATAAAAAAATTATTAATTCAATTCATGAGTCGATTAAAACTAAACCACTATAAAAAAAACCTGGAAGCACCGGATGGCCGTCTCTATCCTTAACAGTGCGTATCCCCCGATCCCGCTCGCGGGATTCAAACCTAGGACCTGCGGTCTCACGCTTAACCTCTAGACCACTGAGCAGGCATCCAACAGTGTTAATGTCGTCCTATGTTTCAGGTTTTCCATGATGGATTAGCCTTAATCTCCTTATGAATTCAACCACTAAATTACTACAATCTGCGCAAAATCCCCTTTCTCATATAAAAAATTGAACCAAAGAATTTACAAACTTATTTTCAAATATATTACTTTTTGCCAATACAGTAGCATAATACTATTTTTATTACTTCATATAGCAAAAATATCAATACCTATTTATTTATCGTGTAGAAATGGATAAGTAATTGAATAATAATTCATAGGAAATGATAACTTAAATAATAATATACTGACTGACCTGATAATAACATTGGATCAATGTTTTCACCTTTCTTCACTTGATCCGGTTCACCAGTTAATGAGCTTTCATCAACCTTTAAATCATTACTTTGAAGAATCACTCCATCAGCAGGCAGCAGATCACCTGTAAACAAGAATTATAAAAAATTACGTGTAATACTAAAAAATGAAAACTCAAAGTAAGGTTAGAATATGGCAGATGGTTACGCGACATCGAGAATAGACCGGGGTTAAAAATGCAGACCAACAGATATCAGCTAAGTGGTCTAAAGCTTAAACAATTGCATGTAAGAACGAAGGTTCTAGTTTCTAATTTCCTACGGTGGGATAGTACATGCATATTGCTGAGGGGTCTGATACTAAGACGATGCAGTTGTTTATTACTTTCTAGTTTTCAATTGGATCCTAACTAAAATCAGCTTATGATTTACACCACAAAAGCAAAGTGTCGAGTGAGAGATTATTGAATAGAGTTTAAACACAAGGAGAAATCGTTGATTAAAAATTTATTTAGTGAATTTTTTGTCCAGTATAATGTGTTGAAGCTCATGGATTTGTATTGGAATTAACAGGAATATAAAGACTGCAAACTTCGGAATACATATATTAAAAGAAATGGTTATAACACAGATCCGTTTTTTGAATACCTCATTTCAATATCTATGATTTATTTTCTTTTGTTTAACCCAAATTATTCTCGTTTATTTTGATATCACTCCGCATTATTTTTCTTTCTTCGTGTATTTTATACATCAAATAAACTTTTATGAAGTGTTTAACAAATGCATCGTTCATAAACAATTTCAATCTATTCAATGTCTGATGAACACACATTTTTCAACTAAGTAATACCAAACAGATATTTTCAAACATCAAGCTATTTTAGCCTGAACACAATGATTAGTTTCTGTTTTCATAATTGATAGTGATCCATAAACGAGGCACTGTGTAAATTCATCTACCATTTACAAAACATTTACTCAGTAAATGTGAAATAGTGTTTATTAAACTACATTCATAGTCTTCGTTATAACAATGTTCAGCCTTATTCACATATATCCGTGTAATTCATACATAACTACTTCAGCGAAATCAAAGTCTATTTCCTTAAGATTAACTTAACCTATTACCGAATAGCGTCATTAACGAATAAATCTTGTGTATAAAATAAAGAGAAAAACATTATCAAATATATGTGTAATAACTATTGCAATTTATTTATCATCACAAACATATGTTTATTGAGATATCATAAAGCAATAAACAGCTGTTATCATCCATTGTAATACTAATTGGTAATTTGTATCCATGATATTGTCAAGAGATTAGATCTCGAGCTTTCGAATTTCCCAGCTAGTTTATTGTCTTAAAACTATTGAGTAAATATTAAATTATTCATATTTCTAATATCAGTCAATTAATAACGTTGTTTGACCGTTATTATCAATCAATTATTTAACAGTTACAGTAATCACTGATCAGTAGTCACTATTATTAAAGGCTAGTGTTTTGTTACTTGGCGAGAAAAGTAAACATATGAATATAAATAATTTGAATAATATATCTATCTATTGAAAAATAGTAAAGATCTCAGATACATAAATAACTAGATATTTTTGAAAATACCACAAACATCTCTTGATAACGGTATTGTTATTTTCATTATTTTATTTCAGACATATTAAAACTTTAGAAAATATATAAAATTTATTTTAGCATATTTGTGTAGTTTTCAGAATATTTTTTCACCTTTGATTTTACAAAAAATAATTAACAAAATAATTATAAAAGTGTATAATTTAATCAAAACAAGTAGGAATAACCGCTAATATCTATAATAGATATACTGGTGTTGCTGTATACTAAAAATAAATGTGTTTATTTAGCATAATTTAGAAAAGAAGAACTATTCTAATTAAATCGAAGCATAGTTAGTTCAAATGTACTGATGACACATTTGTATTGATCTAAGCCGTATTGATACAAAATATTACTTTTCTTTTACCATATAACACTATTTACTTTATTTATGTATGTTAATGTAAGGTCTGATGATGAAATATTTGAAAACAGTCGTTAGTTCATGTGTTCTTTACTTCTGAATACTCTATGAGGATCTTTAAACTATAGCATACAGCTTCAAAGCATAGGTATAAATATTTACGCTAATAAACATGAACACATAACTAATCGATAACAACGATATGAAGTATATACAATTAGTTCTATAATCATAATTAATGATAATAAGCGATATGATCTATTTGTATGGTACACACTGTTGTAGGATTTTACAACTTATTCAATAAATTACACAAACTGATAATCATACAATTTTGACGAAAAACTATTCTATTAGGTAGCAAATTCAGAAAAACAATATCAAGTAACAAAATAAACATGCTTAAGGATAAATGCTTTCTCTCTTTTCAAACACCCAATAAAACCAATTTTTCAGAAATGAAGTTTTCTCTTAAGAGATAAACATTGGGATAAAAATAACTGCAAATAAATTTTTTTTAAAGAGCTGAGCAACACAATTTGTTATTTTTTGCATCCTTTTTTTCAATCAAAACAGGTCAAAAAACGGTGGGAGTTTCTATAATTAGCAATGACACAGATGGGATATATATGTTCGCATTAACCATTCGCTTCTACCCATAAAGACTTTATTTGTATTCAAGCATATGTTTAGAACATTGGACCTTAAATTAACGACCTTTATTTGTTCGGATATTCTTGCCGAAAGCAATGAAAATTTTTCTCACCATCAAAAATAATCAATGCATAATTATTTTTTATAGAGTTAAACTTGACTTTCTGTACATTTTTGTTTATATCATTTCAAGTGAAAGAAATTTAGATTGGGTGAATAAATGAGTCTCTGATTGCCACAATAAGTTCAACCATAATTCGCTTTAATAAATTTCCAAGAAGAGAATAAATAAAACTTTAATATGCATAATTATTACATATATATAAACGTATTATATATATATATATATATATATATATATATATATATATGCTCAGGTAATTTTCCTAATCGATAACTGATTTACCAACATAGTAACAACATTTGTTTATTTTTATTAAGATGCCCATAATGAAACGAGTGAAAGTTTTGTAGTGAAAACAATATGCCACAACAATTGAACCATACTAAACATGACTTTTAGAGTCCCTATTTTTCTATTAGCAAAAACTGACAGAATCAAGGATTTGTGATACGAAATCCTGTGTTGGTGACTGTACGTAGCTTATAAGTTTACCATGGTGCATAATTCGTTTTTCCTAAACAGACTATAACCCATTAAGAAAATCAATTTTATTTGAAAGGTTATTTTGTCAAGTCATTAACATCTAAGAGCGATTTCTAAAAGTTCCTACAATGTTTATGTCTGGACGCACTGGAAGGTGTTTTTAAATCAATCCTAAACGTCTTATCACTAATTTTCACTAACTGAGAAAACAGTTTATTGGTAAGCTTGAAATTTGTGTAACTCTTCCTTATTTCTTCAATGACTAGACTATGAAAAATCTTAGAACTGTGAAAGAACATATATTTCCAGTAACTGTATTGTTAGGTACGGTAATAACTAATCTTGTCTTATTAACTCTATAACTTGCAGTTTAAATAATATTATCTGCAAAGGTTTTACACTTACAGCCTAACATTATCATGATCTAGTCAATATGTTTGCACAAATTACACAGACACTGAATATTTGGCAGTATTGAACATTGATCGAATGATATTTGTAGCGGCGTCTTAAATTGCTTATCGATATTAAGCTTTTCTTTGTATTTTATAATATTGATACGGTCTAAGCTCTCTCTTCCTAAACTAGGTTCTCAACAGTTAGTTGTTCCCATTGTTAGTTCTCTTACTGCCACTAAATGGATTCAGTCTATTTTTAACTCATCTTGTGATATTCATTTCGTTCTGCTAATCTGGTATGGCAGCTTTGACTAGCAGACATCTGAATCAAGCTCCATGTTAATGATTTCTAAGTTACCGATTGTAACTAGTGAAACCAAGAGATATCGAAGAAATAAAAGAAAAAGTACCTAACGATCTACATCATAAAAATGTTTATGTAAATGAAGTACATAAAATAGACTTTTTAATGGAACTGTAATAAATGACAAGTATCAAGTAAACATTATATAAGCAGAATAATACTAATTAAAATTTTCTTATGAAATAAAACATATATAATGGACATCAAAACTATTCTTATTTTCGCCCTAGTTTTCGAGTTTTGACATTATTTCTCTCTTAACTAATGATTTCTTCTAGTTGCATTTAAACAAATTGTGGTAATTTTTTATTCTGACGTTTATCTCTGAATAACTGTATGCTTTTTAGGATTATAAATAACCATAGGTAAATAAAATCAAATTTTAGCTTGGATCGACCAATTGTTAAACCATATATCATAAAACAATACTGATTTAGTTAAACCGATTTCACAAATTAATAAATATAGACTGATTTTGATTACACGACTGATCTCTTTCTAGGATATACGAAAATTTAAGAAAGAAACAATTCAGAACAGATTGTTTGTATTTATTTGACATATACTATTCATTCTTTTATTAGATTTTCTATGGTGTTTATTAATAAAATCCCAAAGGCTATTTCAGAATGTATACAAAATGAGTCTGTTCAACTTAGTTTAATTTGAGTGATGTTGTTCAAACTCAAAATGAAATACATCTTCAGGATTGAACTCAGCATTATCTTTTCTAAAGAAAAACATTATTTTCAATATAAACACAGGAAATAATATATCCTCTTATTATTGAGTTAATATATAAACAGATATTTGTTAATCCAGTATGAAACAGCTGTACAGTGCTTCCTGATTTTCAATAGTTTACTAAGATCCGTCCAATCTGTAAATTATGTTAATTTAGATTTATAAATTAACAAAAATAAAAAGCTAAAAAGTACGTTCAAAGTGACTTTTTGTCGTTATACTGTTTTTATATCACTTCACGTGTTTTTACAATTAGTTTAGGTTGCTAGGTAACACAAAACGTACACACATTTTGTTATTATGGGAAACTTACAACTTTGTATGAGAAACTTGTAAATAAAATACAGAAGTGAAT